TTCTTAGTACAAGCTTGACCAATAAGGTTGTTTCTGCTTCTAATAAGTGTGATCCTTTGGAGCCCAGTGGCTTTCTGTGACTCTTGACCCCTGATGTTACCCAACATTTTGGACAGATTGATTTTTCCCGACTTTAGCAACCATATCATGCTTGAGATTTCTTAAGGGCAATTGAAGATGACTGTCTATTGCCATATTTTGTTTAAACTTAATTTTGAAGTTGCCAGACTCTCTGTACTTTTATACCCATTATGAGTAAGGATAGAAAAAAAGGGAGGAGACGTTTGGCGCACACTAATTACATGACAAAGCCAAGAATCACTTCCTTCTTCTGTTAGTAGTTAACTTTCTCTCCTCCACCCTGTCTGTCTGGACTTCTCACTCTGACGTAAACTGTCACGCAGTTTTAGTCTGATGCAGGCCCTAAACACCCACATGGGGCCCCAAACTGCTATCACCTCCCTTCCTTAGTGATGTTCATCTGGCCTCTCAAAGCTCTCAGTCAAGAGCTGTGAGAACCTCCTGGCTACGTTTTAAGGATGAGAACACTTTCTGCAAACACGGCTGGTACTCTTGAGTTTTTAATCTTTTCCAGATGCCACTATATAGTATAACGTCTGGCACCATGATAGAAAATAGTTTGCAGAGAAGATGGAACAAACACTTCTGGTGGATTAAGAGACTTAACTCTCCTATTACAATATAATAAAAGAATTGTCCTTGGTGTGGCTCTGCCTGTCTTTTTCAGTTCTTTCCACATAAAACACTTTCTCTGCTTTTTATTCATCTCCTGTTTTCCCAGCATTGTATAAAAATACATTAATAAATTAAAATATAAATCTGAGATGGAGGAGCTGAAAAAATGTTTCTAGGCACTGATTCAGGTTATAGGAAACTAATTAAAAACTTGTATGTGTGATCATAGTTTTTTCTGGCCTTTAGCCCATCATTGTACTGCAGACCATAATCTATGTGTGGGTTGACTGCAGAGCGAAGACTCATACTGGTGGAGAACTAATTTACTGGAAACTATGCAGAACACACAGAACACGCCAGCTTTATTCAGAGGCCACAGCTTTTCCCAATCTTTATGAAGTCATTGGAGGCCTCTCCTGAGGAAATAGTCGTAGAGTTGTGGAATGCCAGCGCAACCAGTGGCTCACCAGGACTTTTGGAAAATGATCATTAAAGGGCTTTTTATGTATCCTTTGAAGGGATAATGAGCAACATTAACACTGTAGAAATCCATGCTACTAATACAGAAGATGATAACAATTTCATTTGTTGTGCTTGAAGGGGTTTTCCGTTTTATGTAATTCCATGATAAATTGTTACACCAATGGTCTAACCTTTTTTGTTATACCCCTATAAAGATGGCCTAGTTTGTACTATGGAGGACCAACTCTGCCATATTTAAAAAAAATACATAAATAAATAAATGCTCAATAAATAAATAAGCATATAATTAATTGCCCCCAAAATACAATAAACAAATGAATGTAGGTAGAAATTAAATCATAGAGTGAGACATAAATGTATATATTTCTTTAAATTACCTCTTTATTTATTTGCCTTTGTAATAATCACCTTATTTATTTATTGTCTGGTATGATCTTCAACTTTATTTATTTATTACTTATTTTTTAAAGTATTTATTTATGTCAATGATATAATATTTTTGTCTGTTTTATTCTTCCTTTTTACTTTTTTACCCTCTTTATTTTTCCAACACTTATTTCTGCCTGTCGTGTTTACATTTCTTGGCATTTCTGCCTCATTATGCAAATGAGGAGGGGCTGTGTCTTAGAGGGTTATGAGGCAATTAATTCTATGCTTATTTATTTATTTAGCATTTATGTATTTATTTCTAAATGTTGGTCCTCCATATATACCATGCAGCGACATAGAAAAGAACAAACAAACTATTTTGCACCCAGTAAACAAACGTTTTTGGGAGTAAATAATCCCCCCCCCCCCTCCTTGTTAGGCATCAAGATAAACAATTAAAAAATGTTTACATCTCAAAATTAATCACAATTGTAAATTATCGTTTTGAAGAGTTGGAAATACATCATATTTGCACCAAATTGTATATTTTGGCTGCTAAATAAACTGCTCAGCAGACAGTTTCCAGCTTTTAATTTATTCTGTGTCCTGTCATGCTACTTCAGGCATAGAGAACCATTGAAGCAGGCGATTGGCCATATGTAATGCGGCAATTTTACTCTATAAAATGTACATCTCAAGACAGTATCATAACTGTTTGACTGACTTTTTCAAATCCATATCAGTTCAGCATTAAAGTGGGCAGAACATATCGATATAGTAACCTGTGTTAGAATAACCTTCAACCATTTGAAGTATATGTGTTTGAGGTGTAGATGCATAACTATATTTGAACAATAAAGTACCAACAGAGGCCCAGTGAAACAGACCTTCTTATTCTTGCTTCTTACCTATGAAGCAATATTGGAAAAGTGCTGCATGACATTTTTTTGCATGACAAATGCAAAAAAAATGCATGACCAGGCCACCTTGGCCTGGTCATGACATTAAACAAGCTTTTATTAACCAAAAAGTATGTTTTTACCATGGGAGTAGGTTTGCATAGGGACAGGGGCGGATCTAGAAAAATATTTATGGGGTGGCAAGAGGGGGGCAGGAATTTTTTAGGGGTGGCAACATATGGCATTTTTTTACACTGAATTTAATCACAGTTATCACAGTTTGGTGAGAATAGTATGTACAGTACTAGTGTTTCATGTGAAACAGTTCATATTTATAATACATCGTACAATGAGATCCCACTTAATAGGAGATTGAAAAATGATAACACTACTTCTAGAGGGGCATTATGACAGGAAAGGTATTAAGGTAAGACACAGGTGCTGAGTCGCAAATGTGTGAGATTGACTGTCAGAGAGGCAGCTTTGCAGCATTTGCACAAGAAGAAACTATAGAAAGAAAAAGTTAACTATCAGAGATCTATGGACTGAGCTATACTAAAGTGAGCATTACTACACAGTAGAAATAAATGGGTCAAGGCACCCGAACAAGGTACTGGACATCTATGTAATGTTTACTCTGAACACAGATTTACCCCATTTGTTCCTCAGTAACTTGACATACAGCAGTTAAGGCAACATGAAAGGGACATTTCATGCATGTAAATATGCTGTAGATAGAGCTGCATATGGAGGACCAACTCCGCCATATTTAAAAATAAATACAGAAATAAATAAATGCTCAATAAATAAATGAGCATACAATTAATTGCCACCAAAAATACAATCAACCATGGGCGTAGGTTTGCATAGGGACCATAGGGACATGTCCCTACCAAAATTTTGGACGGACCCATTTGTAACTACCAATAATTGGATGTGAACAACATGTTTATAATTTACTATACAGCAGCTGCTTCTTTTCCTCTCGCAGCTTCTCTGCCTGGTAGCTGCAGCTGCTGCTCTTTTCTGTCCCTTTCACATAGCAGCGCATCAACTGTGCTGCGCGGTTTAACTCTCTGATTATTCTGCCTTAAGTTCCGCCTTCTCTCTTTCTGATTGCGTGTTTTCTAGTCTGTATGTGCGCGCGCGCGGGTGCTTGGAGCGCAAAAAAAAAAAGACGCTAAAATAAATTAATATTGGGCTACGAAACTAGTCCAAATTAAAAAACTTATTATCTACGCTAAAACAGGCGAAAGCTTCTGATTGGAGTTCTGTAAAGAAGCAGGAGAGAGTTTTTTGATTTGTGGAACTTGAGAAATGTAAGTTAACAACGTTATGATTTCTTTTATTTTATCTTTTAATTAGATAGCCAAAGGCTCCTTAAAGAAGATCTTTTAAGAAATGAAACCAGGTGAAACAGAAACGTTTAAACGTCTCCTTTGGAGGAGTTCTGGATGGAGAATATTGACAGACAAAAACTTTTTTTTTTTTTACTTCTAAAATGCAAAATGTTTACATATTTTTTTACAATCTTGGTTATAATTCCTGCTCTAAGTGGGTCGCTCTGTCGGCTAAAGGCATATTTTATTGGCCCTATACTCCAGTTTACGATTAATCAATTACTAAATTAGTTCACGATTATTTAAATAATTTGTTAATATGATTGTTTCAGCCATAGATAAAATACATGGAATTAGCTACACAGAGTAACCACAGCCCAGATGTACAACTTCTAATATTAATATTTTAAATGCTCAGTGTCAGTTCCTCTTCTAGTTCCAGTGCACATGTAAATACAATACATTTATTTGCTGTCCCTTGAATGTATTATTTTGCATGATCCAGAGAGAGCATATTAGAAAAAAAAATAAGAGTGGGTTTTACCTCTGCACAATTCTCTATCTTCAAAAGAAAACACAGGATAAATCCACATATTATAGACTATATGTGGTTAAACAGACACTGTCTTAGTCGCAGGTAAATTTAAATGCAATCCTTTTCAAAGTGGAAAAAGTCCTAATTCCACATTCATCAGAGCCAGTGATGCTTTAAATATTGATAAACAGCATCTAGTGCATGTAGTGCTTATAAGATTTGTATTAATGTAGCAAGAAATGCTGCTGTTCTCTTTAAACAAAATGAGCCCTGAAGCTCACATTAAGCATAAAAAAGAGCATGCATATTTTTGCAAAGGACCAATGAAACTGAAGAATAGTGTCCCTACCAAAGTTGAAATCAAACCTACGCCCTTGCAATCAACAAATAAATGTAATTAGAAATTATATTATAATGGCAGGCAGAAATGTTAAAAGGGCAGGCAGAAAGAAATAGTGGCGAAGAAATAACTAGGGTAAAAAAATACAAAGAAAGAATAAAACAGACAAAAATATGATAACATGCACATAAATAAATACTTAAAAATATAAGTAATTAAAAAATGAAGTTGAAGATAATAAATGACAAAAAAACAAATAATGTAAATATTAAAAAGGCAAAGAAATAAAGAAGCCAATTAAAAGAGTTATATACCTTTATGACTAGCTGTATAATTTAATTTCTACTTACATTTATTTAAAATGCAAAGCAGAATGCTGCATCTTTAGACATGGAATATTCAAGCCATGGCCAAGAACTGTACCACTCCCTGTGGAAGCTTCTTTTTGCTGCTCCATGTTGTGTCTTTGGAAATGTCTTTAAATCAGGCTGCACTGCTGCATCACCTTTGCATTTTGATATATCTTAAAAAACAAAAAGTGCCAAATATGATTATCTAATGCAATTGAACAGTACATGGACATAGCTAATGCATATGTGGCATTACATATATTATCCCTCTGTATGGCAATTTATATAGAAGAAGAATAAAAACATACCATGTGGTCCAGGGAGAATTTCAGGTCTACCCTCTTCCTCTCTGTCATCTTCCTCCTCCTCCTGATCATTCCCTGCGTCTGTTCCTCTCTCTGAATCTGGAGCCTCCTCTTCATCTCTCACTGATTCTTCTTTTTCCTCAGCTCCTGCACTTATTTCCTCATTTCCTTCACTCATTTCTGTGTCTCCTTCATGTATTTCCTCTTCTTCGTCACTTATTTCTGTGTCTCCTTCAGTCTTTTCCTGCACTGACCCTCCTGGGCTCTCCAGTTTACTGCCTTCTCCCTCATTTCCCTTGCGCTCTTCCTCTTGTGTACTTGTTGGAATTTTCTTTGCAAAAAAGCTGGTTATATCCCCACTTTTAGCCTTCCTTTTCATGGCTAGGCCTATGAAGTAATATTTGCATGCAAAAGTCAATATGTGAAAACCTCTGGTTATCCTTGTATTTCATTAGCCTACACTGTAGGGCCATGGAACTTATAAGTTAAAGGAATAGTACACCCAAAACATGATTAGCCTTCATTTTCTACTCACCCCATGCTGAACAACACCCTGGAGTACTTTTTTGATATCTCAAATGCATCTGGAGATCTGGGAGGCTTCTTGCTGTCTGCTGACATTCAAATAATGGAGGTCTATGGTGACCGAGACAGAAAGGTCCATAAAAGTCCACAAAAAACGTGTCAATATTCCTCCATACTGCTCGTCCAATGTATTCCAAGTGTCCTGAGTGGGTAGCATCCAGAATTTACTCGAAACGAAGTCATTTAGAATGTTTTTAGAGCATAAACAGTAGTGTATAGGATTTCCTGAAAGCGCGCACACGCGCGCTCACGACGCTACGGAAGCCGGCAGACCAAACCAGCGCATTCAGCTCGGCAAAGAACTCATGCTCTTCCTCAACACTGAAGTCCTCAGATATTTTTCTTTCGTTGTTTCTTTCTTTGCACAGGTAAACAGCACATTTCTTCTTCTATGCTTGCATTATTGGAAGAGCAGACGCTGAATGCGCACTTTCATCTGGTTTGATCTGCCGGCTTCCGTAGCGTCGTGAGCGCGCGTGTGCGCGCTTTCAGGAAATCCTATACACTACTGTTTATGCTCTAAAAACATTCTAAATGACTTCGTTTCGAGTAAATTCTGGATGCTACCCACTCAGGACACTTGGAATACATTGGACGAGCAGTATGGAGGAATATTGACACGTTTTTTGTGGACTTTTATGGACCTTTCTGTCTCGGTCACCATAGACCTCCATTATTTGAATGTCAGCAGACAGCAAGAAGCCTCCCAGATCTCCAGATGCATTTGAGATATCAAAAAAGTACTCCAGAGTGTTGTTCAGCATGGGGGTGAGTAGAAAATGAAGGCTAATCATGTTTTGGGTGTACTATTCCTTTAAGTTTCATATACTACAATACCTATATATATGGTATATATATATATATATATATATATATATAGGTATTGTAGTATAGCCTATATAACAAATATAAATGAGAAAGATTTATCACATTCACACACCAGTTATGTTTAGACTACTTAATTCTATTGTATTTGTTATTTCCCCAGTTATAACCTGGTTTCATTGCTGCGATATCTGAGAGGAATTGGATTTATAGGACTGCTCAGCTAATCAAATCAACACTGTAGCCTGCGTGTTGTAACGTAACGGCGGCATAACGGTTACCATCAGTAAATCAGTTAACGTTATGGATACAAAAAATATTTTGTATTTTTTTATTAAGCTGTTTTTTTCTTAACATTAATCAAAGGGAAGAGTGCTCTTACAAATCCCGAGGGAAGGATTTGACCGACACACTAGCTGTTTTTGCTAATCGTCTTTAGCAGATATTGACTACAAATGTAACTTTTAAGTGAAACGTGTGTTTAAACTACACCTGGTAAAAGTCACTTCACCTTCAGATGCCCTGGGACAGCTCAGTCTCTCCAGTTGGTTTGCACACTACAGAGCCACCGCGACGCTGCAGACTGTGTGTGTGTGTGTCAGACAGACTGAGCGCGAACTGCGCTCTGCACGTTTGAATCAGGGGTATAGCTAAGTATTTGAGGGAAGGTGGCAAATAATACAATAAAAATAAAAAACTAAATTGCAACCTTTTGGTAAATGTATTGTTTTGAGAAGCCTGTGAACATAGTGGCAGGTTGTTTTTACAGGTACAGCTTTTGGATCATCAAAGTTAGGGGGGCAGCTGGGGGGGCAAGGCTCTATATTGGGGGGTCAGCTGCCCCCCCTTGCCCCCATGTAGATCCGCCCATGCATAGGGACCATAGGGACATGTCCCTACCAAAATTTTGAACCGACCTAATTGTCCCTACCAATAATTGGATTTGAGCAACATGTTTATAATTTACAGCAGTAGTTGTTGCAGCAGTGGCTTCTTTTCCTCTCGCAGCTCCTCTGCCTGGTCTCTCCTGTCCCTTTCACCTAGCAGCGCATGGAACTGTGCTGCGCTATTTAACTCCACTCTCATTGGTTGTTCTGCCTTAGGTCCCGCCTTCTCTCTCCTTGATAGCCTGTTTTCTAGTCCGTCTGTGCTTGGAGCACAAAATTGAAAGTTTATTCACACTAGAATGCCGCGGTTACTACAATTAATATTAGGCTACAAAACTAGTCCCAATAAAAAAAAAGGAATATCATGTGCACTAAAAAACAAAAACCTTTTTTTTTTTTTTTTTAAACGAAATATTCTGAGTCAGCCAGGAGTTCTGAAGACTGCTGGAAAAATGGGCAAATAAAGGCTGTAAGCCATCAACATTTCTGATTCTTAGCCACAGCCAATTAAGAAAGAAAATGTGAGGGTTTCCTTTTTACCGATATTTAGTTGTTATTACTGTTTTCATTTTTTGATGACTCTTTCAGGTATAATTATTAGCAGGTGTTATTTCTTTTATAGAGTAGCCTATAAGAACAAGAAATGGTGCCTAAACATCTGCTATTTTTTGTTTAAAAAGCATAATTAGGGTTCCACATAATAATAGTAATTTAATTGACTATTTATACTTCTAGAAATAGGATAAAGACAAGAACAAACAGAGGAAGAATATTAACATTGATTTTATCTTACATAGATTTCCACACAGTCTATAAGTAAATTAGTACAAACATTAATGTCTGGTAAAAATGCTTGAATCTGACTGTTTATTTTGGATATTATTAAATTACAGATAAGATAATGTTATATTGTCTTTTATAATTGTTAAAAGTGATTTTATATTTTAATACACTTAGGCTCATGCTCAGTGTTGTGTAAGCAATATAGGACAATGATAAAAGGTTGTGTTACATTTAATCCTTTACTATTAAAAATGCACTTATACATTATATGATTATAGTAAACACAGATATCCAGTAATAATGATGCAGGGCAGCTTGTAGGTGAAGCAGCTGGCCCTTCAGTGCTTCAGGTGATGTCTAAATAAACCAGGTGATACTAAAATATTTCCTCTTGATGAGTTCTGGATGAAGAATATTGACAGACAAAAAATTTTTTTTTATCTTATATATTATATATATATGTTGTATTTTTAAAATTTTGGTATAATTACTGATCTAAGTGGGTTGCTCTGTCGGTAAAAGGCATATTTTACATTTGTCTTATGTTTTAGAGTCTCTATTCTCCAGTTAATGATGAATCACTCACTAAATTAGTTGACGATTATTGAAATAATCAATTAATATGATTCATTTTTTCAGTCCCAGATAAAATACCTAAAATGGGCTACACAGAGTAACTACAGCCCAGATGTTCCACTTTTATAGTGAAGTTAATATCTTAATGAATGTTTTATTTTGCTTGATACAGAGAGAGCATAGTAGGTAAAAATATAAGAATGGGGTTTAACTCTGCACAATTCTTATCTTCAGAAGAAAATACTGTATTTACCTTCTCTCTTAGTCGTTCAAATGAAACCATTTTCAAAGTGGAAAACAGTCCTAATTCCACATTGATCAGAGCCGGTGATACTTCAAACATTAATAAACAGCATCTAAAGAGTGTAGTGCTTATACAATTTTTATTAATGTAGCAAAATGATGCTTTTCTCTTTTAACAATGAATTCCTCTTATCAGTACGGATCCTCACACCGTGCATAAAAAAGGACATGCATATTAGGGTTGTCAAAAGTATCGATACTCAAAAAAGTATCCGGATACAATACTCATTTTCAAAAGTATCGATACAGCCATCTAAAGTGCAGAATAGTGGAAAATGCACTTTCTGAACACTGTGTGATTGAATAATTCTGTGCATTTTTCAGTTTCAGACTTTTTTTTATAACAGGTGCAGTTGCTGAGAATTATTTTTGTTTAACTGGTTTGGCCAGTGTCATTGTTATGTCTGCAAAACATAGCCAAGGAAGGAACACTTAATTTTAATTTTGTAAGTTTTTGTTATCAAGCTTGGTTAATATTGTGCACAGCATACAACCTCAAAATATTATTCTTATTGTTTTTTTTAATTTATTTCTTGTATTTTTTTTAGTAATGAAAATATTTCTGTTGAATTTTAGAGTCTTTGTTTTTATTCTTGTGGTATCGAAAAGGATATCGAGTATTGAATATTTTACTTAGTATCGGTATCGAGTTGAAAAGTTTAGTATCGTGACAACACTAATGCATATTGCATAGCACCAATGACAACCGACTGATAGTGTCCCTACCAAAGTTCAAATCAAACCTACGCCCTTGGTTTTTACTATATGTTTGAGTTCACCTTCATCTTTAACACACATCAAAACCAAGCGGAGGAACAGACTGGATGTCAAGAACAGCCTGGTATCAGCTGTTTTTCACACTGAGCTATTGGCACTCATCAAAGCCAATCAGGTGTCTGGATGAAAACAAATAAAACAAATTAAGTCAGTCTGACCATAATTTTTGTTCCCAGTTAATCAAGTTTAAATGTGATTATAGGGAATCTCAATTTTTATAAACACAGGTTTATAATAGGATTTTACTTTGTATTTATTTTGATTCCTTACTAACTTCCAGACAACATATTTATTTATTTATTTTTTGAGAAGGAAAGCATACTTTTATAAAAAAAAATATTAAAAGATTAAGTAAAATAGTCTTTATTTCAGTTATTGTATGTTCCACTTTTGGACAATCATCAATACTTTTTACTGAGACAGGAACTCAAATTACAAAAAATTGCCCAAAGAGGAACAGAAGTCAAAGAAATTTGGGAAACACTGATCCAGAAGGACCTGCTCTAATTTCTAAGGTTAGAATATACTATAACTTTACTGCTTTAATAAATCTGTTACTTTTCTGCATTTTGCCACGTCCTCCTCCTCCAGCACCTTTCTTTTTTGTCTTTCTCCCTCTCTGCACTGCCTTCCCTCTTCTTATACGTTCATAGACAGGGTTCTTTGCTATTTATCCTCACTTGCACTGCATGGTAGCTACACATCACAGCAGCCAGCACCAAACAGACATCACACAACTTC